AAAACCTTACATTTTAGTCATATACTTCTCTCATAAAACTCACCTTTATTTTTCTCCCAGAATCCGAAAATCAATTAATATATAGGGTGTTCCATTACAAAAAACACAACCTTGATAATATGTAACTTCTTTTTCCTCTATATTTTTAAAAAGTGCTCTGAATTAACCTACATATTCTCACAAAATTTCATTTCAAAACAAACTGTCGTTCTCCTTGGAGCCTCCGCGGCGTATGAGAGGCGCCACCCTGTATATTATGACGTTGACATAAGTTCACATCTCATGTTTCCAAATTATGTAGGAAAGAAATCAACAATCTTTATCGGTGTACTTAAATATAAAGACCGCCCTGAATATATTTAGCGTTCATTAAATAAAAGAGTAATCAATTATTTTAAATATAGATTATGATATTATCTAAAAGTAATTTATTAATTGAAAATCCAAAAAAATACATAATAATGGAGATATACAATAATAATTAATTATTATCATTAGGTATAGAAAAATAGGGTTTTCAATTACAAAACGAATTTTTGGAATTTTTTTTAGTTTTTAGTTAAAAGACATAGTTTGCTGATAATATGGCAACATAAGTAGTAAATTAAATTTACAAATAAGAAAATCCAGAAAAGATCCAGTGGTTCTCAAAATTTCAGCAAAAATTTTTTTTTTTTGGAAATTTTCGTAAGTGAATAAAATAACTCGGTTATTTTGGATTTCTTTGAAAAAACGGTAAAGAAAAAATATGTTTCTTTTCTCGATATCTACCAGCCCTGAAAATATTTGCACTTACTTAAGACTCGCCCTGTATATTTGTGGTAATAACAATTTCACGTGGTAATAAAATTCGTTATAGCGAGTATAATAAATTATTTATTTATCTGTGAAACAATAAATCCTTTCGCAATATGATTACGATGCAATAAATTCATTAAGCAATTATATCCGCATATTAAGATTGTAAATGACAGTGCCGTAGGTAGGTATACTTAATTTTTTCTAAATGTAATAGAAATCTGGGTCACAACTCACGCCTGAACTGGTAATGAATAACTTCTACTATATATTATATCTCCGATCTAAAATACTTCTTATTATGATAAAACAACCATTTTGATCATAAGCATTTCAAATCCAAACTCGGATAAAATAAAATATGTTTTGTGCCTTACACAGAAAGTGTCAAACGTTAGTAGCGTATCGGTAATTTATAAATCTTGTGATGTATGTTAGATAATACCTTTATTATTATTAGAAAACAGATTTTTATATTCGGTTTTAAACTCAAAATAAATAAAATTGTATAACGTACACCACTGCCTACAAATTAACAAATGACTGGGATTAAAAAATTCAACGATATTAAAACGGAATATGGAACGACAGCTTAATCGTAACCAGCCTGTCGACTTACTTTTTTTACTTACTCATCATTTAAGGTTTTCATGAACGTACGTGACCAAAATCTGTATTTTATTATATCAATGAAAAATAATGAATCGCTTATAGGGAAACAAACTACAGTGCGGCGGGACGCGGACGCCAGCCATCGCGTCGCTAGGAAATCACATCTTTACATGGAAATGTGCGAGCCTACTTTATTCGTTAATTTTATGTTACATACCCATTTAACGTACCTAACAAGCAAGTGGGAATCCGAATAATACACTGAAACTTCGCTTAAAAAATACGACTAGTGTTCAAACTACTGGCATGTTAGAGAAGATGACTATTGAAAATAATCAACTATTTAAAGTTGTTTTTATTTGTTTGGATGTGAGTCAAAATAAAACTCTTTGGCAACTGCTGACCGCAGGTATTTGATATCGTTTAAAAAACACGCAAATAGACCTGCAATTTTTCGAAAGAAATTAACGTTTTTTATAGTCCCCGAAATTTTGAATTTTGACTATATTTGGTTCTGAGAGAGTGAAAAAAATAAACGATGATATACGTATTGCCTTTTATATTTAAATATTTAATGTTAATAACCTTATTGTTTTCAGTTAAAACCGCTAAATTCTATAATATATATTTTTTTAACTACTATTTATTTGTCTAGAGTTGTATATTTTTATTTTATCTTTTGTTAATTCTACTTTTTTGTATTCAATCTATTTGTCTTATTTGTATTTATACTATTTGGAAGATTTTCGAATACACTTTCAAAAAGGTATTCAATCAATGCGCACTACCTGTTCTAACGTATGGTGCGGAGACCCTAATATTAACCAACAAAACTGTAAGCAAAACCAGAATATCGCAAAGAGCAATGAAAAGATCAATGTTGGAGCTATCGCTGAGAAACAAAGTACCGAATATCGAAGTACGGAGGAGACAGAACAAAAGTCATGGATACCATAGAGAAAATAACTAAAGTATGTCTACTGGATCTATGTCTATGAAAGGAATGCGAACAAAAAAAATATTTAAATAAACAGCAATATATTTTATACGTCGACTTGACGAGTATGTCACCGCAAATCGCTCCGCCCACTCATTTTATTGGCTACTTGCAAATTTGTCGAATTTTTATTGCTGGGATGTGTCGTATAATTTTTTACGAATAACATCGAGAGATATCGTTTCCCTTCTCACGGATACCCCGTGGCTACAGAACGGACAGACGTACTGTACTTTAAATTACTATATAAATTGTTAGTAGTTAAATATTATTTAAATTGTTAGTATATGACATAAATTGGGATTGATTGACGTATTCAATTGTTTTCGGTCACTTCCGGTGTCACTGGAAATTACTAAAACTTTTGATGGTTATTTAAATGGCACCCTCGGTATTTTTTTACTCTATTCGATAAACTGTTAAATTGACACTGTCATATGACACTCTGAATCGAATGACGTATCACATGTCAACTTTTGACATTTTCGCATATGGTTTATTTGAAATTGTAACATGCGGTTTATAACGACAATTTGACTCGAAATACCAAGTGTGTGGTATCAAATTATTCGTAAAAAATGCTTTTTCCAAAAATGCTAATGAGTAGTGATGGGAAAAACCGATTAATTTCAATAATCGAGTACTCGAGTATCAAGCGATTGCAATAACCGAGTGATCACTCGAGCGAAATATCGCTCGTATTTAAAAATACGGTTTTTTGTCCGTCGCATGTTGTAAGTACTCGTTAAGGTCAAGCGCCAAGCAGTAAGCTGGGTGGCAAGGGCACACATTCTTTCGATAATGAACGGGAAGTAGTATGCGGCGAGCGTATTTGGCGGCGGGCGATTCGCTTGATCGCCTGATTTAGTTTATTTCGAAGCATTGTCGATGTAGGTCGTAAAATTTTGTCTCTCAGATACGCAACGGATAAATGTACCGGATTGTCTCAAAAGTGGATCATCCCCTATAATTTTTTTATTTTTTCAGATAAAACAACGAGATTTGGTATGTTAATATATGACATAAATTAGGATTGATTGACATATTCAACTGTTTTCGGTCACTTCACCGGAAATGACTGCAACTTTTGATTTTTAAATCGCACAGTCGGTATTTTTTTACTTTATTCGGTAGAAAATGACCTCTGAATAGAATGACATATCACATGTCAACTTTTGACATTTTCGCATATGGTTTATTTGAAATTGTAACATGCAGTTCATAACGACAATTTAACTCGAAGTATCAAGTGTGTGGTATCAAATTATTCGTAAAAAAATTCTTTTTCGAAATATGCTAATGACCCACCTTCGTTCCATTTGAAAAAAAATGAGATATGATCAAAAATACGATTTGGACATATTTTAACCGGCCAGGGCAAGACACTAAAAACATTAGACAATCAAATCTATTTTTCCAAGGCTCCTTGATTAAAAATTAGTGTTTTTAACACAGCAATTTAAAATACAATTTGTTTTTAAGCGAATATGTCAAAAGTTGACATATAATACGTCATTCTATTTAGAATGTCATTTTCTATCGAATAGGGTAAAAAAATACCGAGGGTGCCATTTAAAAATCAAAAATTGTAGTCATTTCCGGTGAAACACGAAGTGACAGAAAACAATTGAATACGTCAATCACTCCTAATTTATGTCATATACTAACATACCAAATCTCAATTTTTTATCTAAAAAAATAAAAAAGTAATAGGGGTGAGCCACTTTTGAGACGCACCCATATATACGGCGTCGTATAAATTTGCTACCTGCAATGTATGTAGAAAATTCGCTCGGCTTTTTATCGAGTAGGTCACATTAAAATCGGATTTCAATTTATTTCATTCTAGGATCGCTTGGTACTCGTCACTTGCATCGCTCGTTCATAATCGAGCGATGTCGGTTATTTCAATAATCGAGTACTCGAGCGAATTTTCGCTCGAGTTATTCCATCACTACTAATGAGCCACCCTTGTTCCATTTGAAAAAATTGAGATATTATTAAAAATACGATTTAGGCATCTTTTAACCGGCCAGGACAAGACACTAAAAACATTAGACGATCAAATGTATTTTTCCAAGGCTTCTTGATTAAAAATTAGTGTTTTTAACAATTCCGCGGTACTCTAGATTGAATTTTAAAATACAATTTGTTTTTGAGTGACTATGTCAAAAGTTGACATATGATATGTAATTAGATTCACAGTGTCATTTTCTATTGAATAAAGTAAAAAAATACCGAAGATGCCATTTAAAAATCAAAAGTTAAGTAGTAGAAAGTTAGTAAGTAGTCATTTCCGTTGAAACCGGAAGTGACCGAAAACAGTAATTATTGAATACGTCAGTCAATCCCAATTTATGTCATATATTAACACACCAAATCTCGTCTTTATCTGAAAAAATAAAAAAGTTATATATTAGTTATATAAGAAACGCACCCGGTATGTACACCTAACTCGTTTTGAATTAACAATTCGAACAAAAATACTTACTTTTTAAGTTTTATTTATTATGTGTTGAAAAAATTGGCTATTAATATTTTCAAATATTCTTTAATAAATACTATGTTTTCTCAGAATAGATATGCTTTTAAACAGAGGCAAAATGTATTAGATTAGTAGATGTTATATGTAATAAAAGGTCAGTAAAACACAATAAATTTTATAAAAAAATCATATCGTCCACACTTCAAAAAAATCCATATTAATTAATATCTTGAATTTATGTAGTAGAAATAACTTAAGTTAAAGTACACTACTAAAAATAAGACACACTGTCTCTATAAAAAAATCGCGACGATATGGTCTCATACTCTCATGCACTGGTAGCTTGTAAATGTTTGTGGACACATTCCTCCTTATTAATGAGATGAGTCGTCTTGTTGACCAGTTGCATTAACGAAGACAAGTCCCTCGCCCAGTCATTAAGAACGTCACTAGGATCTTTCTGTTGTTGGAAATTCACAACGCCAGCCGGTCTATCTGTTTTAGCTTGGACAGTCTTATTTACGACCATATTTGACAAGAATTCCTCGGTTTCGGCCGGTGACAGGTCTAGGAGTTGTGCCATGCGAGTTATCTTGATTCGTGTGTAATATTTTGCCATTACACGTATATTGTGTTCTACTACTCTAGACCTAGTAAAAAGGCAAAAAACATATTATTAAGTGGTGAGAATTGAATTAGGGAGAACGTGCTGATGCTTGACGAGGAAAGTAATAAGAAAAAAGGTAATAAAAAACGAGAAAATTCAGAATAAAATTTAAAAAAACAACTAATTGATTTTCAACTCAATTTTCTTCGGGGTAATTATAAATTCTAGACATTTGCTCGTTTATATATTCGTTCGTTCTCGAGGAATGTTTTCCATAATAGATTTTCGAACATTTTACAACAGTATAGGTGGTTTAAAGGAATTTTACAACAATTCAGAAATTAAAACCGCAAATAAACAAATGGTATAAATATACAGGGTGGTACGAACTGTTCCGGAAACTTCGGCAGCATATTCTGCAGATAAAAATAAGTAAAAAAGTTTGTATAAATGTATGTCCTAAAATGTTTAGTTTTTTCGATTTTCTCCAAATAATTTATGAAGCAACGTTAATATTATATGAACGATATATCCCTGGAAGTAACGTCAATATTTGGATAAAAATTGGTATCTAGGAGTTTTAAGACAGGAGAAATTTGATTTTGATGTCAATATGACTCCTATTTGTAGGAGACGCCACCTACATGTCGTTTAACTGTTTTGAAGAGTAATAACCTTTCATCGGTACCTGTATAAAACTATTGTGAAAAAATATACATTTCCGTGATTTTCTACATAAAAAATGTCTCTTTGTAAAAATCGCTAGGAGCAACCTATCTCGATATATTTAGAATGGCAATAATCAATACATGTCATTATTATCAAAAAATAACATGTTGAGTAGATAGTTATTTGACTGAAATGATAAATTTGGGAACTTTTTATTTTTTTTTAAATTAATCATAAATTTTTCTTCGAAAAAATAATGATAAAACAGTTTCTGTTGAACTTTTGCCACAAAAACATTTCAAATTTATGATTTCAGTCTAACAGCTATTTAGGCTGTATTCCGTTGGAAAACCAGGCGAACCAGACCGGTAAACTACGGTAAAGAGCGGTTCCTGAAAAACATCGGTTTGATACGGAACGGTTTGGTAAAATACTGGAAACGTCAAATGTTGACGTTTTTTAAATTTCAATATTATAAAATTTATCTTTTATGCATTTTTAATGTACCTATTCTCTGCTTTTAAGTTTGCTTCTTCTTTTCAATGGAATTTAACCCTTAACAGGCGTGGTCGGAAATTTTAGCACTCTATGCGTTGCGGAGTCCCTAGGACTCCAAAATATACAGGTGCGCTGTATTAGTGTTATCATAACATAATATTTTTTTTCGTTATATACATCGTTAAACACTTACAAGGAAATATATTTTTATTTTTACAGCCGTATTATTTACACAATAAAGTAAAAAAAGCAAACAAACCAAAAGTAATAGAGTTTGTACAAAATGAACATTATCAAAGTTCTACAGTTAATTTTCACTCGATTTTTCCTCCACTTGACTTCAAAAGACACAAAACACACGTAATAACACGAATCAAAATGCATCATCGTCCAAAACGCAGAGTATTTGACAAAAGTTGTCACAAAATTATAACCTATAATTTGGCAAGACTTTGACAAACGTCAAAAATCTAAAGGCGAGTTCATACGCATCGACGTCCGTTTGTCGTTCATCGTTCCGTCAAACCAATAAAATTGAAATACGATCTGTCATTTTTGAAATAAACCAATAAAACTGGTTAAAAACAACAAGTGACGACGCATGACGAATTTATATTTAACCCTTAACTGGTCCGGTAATAGATATGTATCATAAACGGTTCGGCGTAGTCTGTGGGACTACGCCTTCTAAAAAGTGAAAAAAACACACAAAAACTAAAAAATAAGAAATTTTTATTTTATTATATATGATATTATGTATTATTGAACTAATATAGACAAAAATGGGTTCAATTAATATAAACTTTAAGAAAATATAGTACAAAATAAAATAACATAGGTACATATAAATTTGAAAAAAAAAACAAAATAGATTTTTACTAAGCTCTAAAAAATAAAACCAAATTACTAACAGTCATTACAATATAGAAATATGTTTTTAGTACTATATATAAAAAAAAATAAGCTATAAAACTGAAATTAAAGAAAAGGTTTTTAGTTACAGCATGAGGCAAAGTTCATTGTTTTCCTGAACATGTTTTACAAAATGAATTCGTACATTCTAAGCATTAAAAATAATTAAACTAGGACATAACATTGTCTTTAACTAGGATAAGAACTCTGGGATAAGAATATCTCCATGGGCGCGTTCTGGTTGTACAGGAATTGCAAGTATTCTACCAATTGTAAAGTATATTTCTCTTGGAATATTTGACATTGTCAAACGCATTTGTCTGGCAGATTGTCATATTGTCACTGTCACAGTCCTCATCATATCATTTTAATAGAGTTTCTTCATAACTAGAGTCTCGTAAACGCACTCTTTTCGAAGGCCTGGCCATATTTTACAAAAGTTTATCAAACACAAAATCTTACGCAAACGGTCCGGCGTCGTCTGAGAGACTACGGCTTAAGTAACTTCTGCCATAACTTCTAAAAAACTAATCCAGTTTGGGCATAAATATGACTATCAGTAGTTGACCGAGAGGGGGAGGATTAGCTGGAACGCCAATTGTGTGGGCGGTCCCAGTAACTAATGAGAATGAGTTAATTATTTGGCGTAGTCTGTCAGACGACGCCGGACCAGTTAAGGGTTAAACCCATCCATAGTTAACTTAAAAATTATTAGAAACTTTTTTTAGTAAAATAAATAGATTGGTATGGGATGTCATCTGCTTTTCTTCTGTCATCGTCTGTCGAAATCTTACCTGAGAAAAAAACAGAGTATAGCTCTCGTACTATCCATCTCATCTTGATCATCAGATTCATTGGCAGACATCTCACTCGCCATGTCGTGATCACTTGTGATAACATTTTCTGTTGTAACATGGCTCTCAGGTTCTCCATCTTGGTCAGAAAACTTTTCCTCACTTTCATCAAACCATCTTAACATAGTTTCTTCAAAGTTAGGATCTGTGGCTTTAGCCACCTTTAATTTCTTAGACATAGTCCCAAAATTGATATCATTACACTAACGGCGTCACGGACTCCCACGGACTCTAAGATGTTTGTTAGATGCACTTGCCGTGATAACAGATCGAAGTCGTCTCAACATCCGACGGGTACCATCACCATAGGAAGCTACTAGACGACGCGCATCGCTTGGTCGACAAATACGAAAGTTATAAAACAATTTATTTTTACTAGAGTCCCAGGGACTCCGCAACGCCGGTTAAAGGTTAATATTGAAAAGTGCTTTATTAATAAACTGTTAAACTCGTTAGACAGCTCAAGTGAAGATTTGCAGGTCCAATATTAAAACAGATCAATAATAAATAAACAAATCTAATCAATATTTATATTTTTATAGCTTACAAAACATTCACGATTACTTGTTGTCTTGTTTTTCATGTTTTCTTTAAATGTAGCTGACTTTAAGAAACAATGGCTGCATGATAAGTTTAAATGGTCCTAAAAAGTCATTCTATTTAGTTAATGAAATTTATTTATCTTTACTGCCTACCTCCATTTCTTTTGGATGTAAATACAAAAAATTATTACAAATTTTAGAAATTAAATGATAATTTTACTTGAACTTCCAATATTTGCTTGATTTCTGTCACATAAATGACATTGATTGACAAACAAAACCAAAAAACCCAGCCTTCTCGCGCTGGTTAGTTTGGTGACAGTTATAACCGAATTTTTCAGGAACCGTGTTCCGTAATAAGAAAACTTTCAGGAAACCAATAGAAACGAAACATAAAACCATAACCAAGGTAAGCAACGGAATACACCCTTAGTCAACATGTTTAATTTATGTCAATAATGACAAGTATTTATAATTTCGATTCCAAATATCTCGAGAACCATTACTCGTAGCGATTTTTACCAAGAGACCTTTTTTACGTAAAAAACGTCGTAAATGTGTATTTTTTCTCAGCAGTTTTATATACATAGGTACGGACGAAAAGTTATTACTCTTCAAAACAGTTAAACCACATGTAGATGGCGCCTCCTACAGATAGGAGTTATGTTAACATCAAAATCAAAAATTAAATTAAAAAAATCCCAGACACCAATTTTCATCGAAATAAAAATGAAACTTCCACACCCTGTATCTTCCGAAACTAAACATTTTAGAGCATACATTTATACGAACTTTTTTACTCATTTTTATCTGCAGAATATTTATGCTGGTGAAGTTTCTGGAATATAGTTCGGACCAACCTGTATATAAAAAATATATTATAGTGAAATTCAAACTTACTTCAGATCTGCCCATCGTTTAGTAGCTTGATCATCTCCACTAAATACTGGTGTAGACTTAAGTTCTTTTTCATATAATTCACATAAACCTGACCACTTTATCAACTCTGGAGTAGTAAAAAGTTTTAAAAGAGACTTGTACAATGGTATTTCTTCTAAAACTTTGTCTGCTATAACTCTATAGGTAAGATCAGACTAAAATAAAAATACTAGTTAGATCACGCCTAGTTTTATTAAATTATTACAAAAATTATTTCAGGAAAAACATAATTTAAGTCTTTATTTTGACTAGGTCTTTTAGCTGTATAAGATGTCAATTACTTATACAGAGCGGATAAGCTTCCATTGAAGCGGGTGATACGTCGCATCCCTTCAAAATATTGTTTATTTAAAAGTCACTGAGATCTATAATACATTAAAATTTTCAATAAATTTATTCAAATAAAATTCAATTTCAATTATTTAATGTGTGTATTGGTTGAGCCTTAGATATAAAGCTAAACGCTAAAAAATCTCGACAGCGCGATGATGCGACTGTCCTCGTTACTTCTTGAACGCCGCCAAACGCGAGCCGAGGTCAGCGAACTTTCCGGCCGCGATTTCGTCTCCCGTTCGCCTATTTAGTCGATGGGTGACGCGGTTTCATAACCACATCGTCCGCGGAAAAAAATAAAAAAAGACCGTCGCGCATCGTGATGAACGGTTCGATAGTAGAGAGCAGGTATGCGTTCTTCTCCTTCATTTCAAGAAAATGTAATAAAAGTTTTTGGAAATATGCATATACTGGACGAATTTATCTCTAAACCAAACAGATACTTTCACAGATTTGTTGTTTTGTACCTAAAATTTAATTCTTTATTTAAATTGCTTTATTTTTTTAACCTGTTACATTTTTTGAATTTTTTATTTTTGTAACTTTAAAATTAAATATTTTAATAAAAAAAAAAAACTTTAATGCGTTAATAAAATGTTAATTGCAGTTGCTTATTACATCCCCTTGTATTCACGCCACGCTACGCCGCTGCTTATACAGGGTGGTGACCCAGTGCTCAGAAAAAGCTTTTTATTTTGTGTCTGGCTCGATATTATCACTCCAACCTTAGTTATAAAGTATATGGATATGGATAATAATAGTGCACATTTTAAAAATAACTTTGGCAGTCTACAGATCAACATATTTTGAAACTAAAGATATATATTCTTAAATGGAATGTTATACATATATTTTTTGATTCCAACAAACAATTCTTACCTGTTCATTATCATAGGGGGCTAATATTAAATATAATACTACTGCTTTAGCTGATTTTTGCCTTTCTTCGGGAGATGCTTGTATGCTTGGCGTGTTTAAAACAGCCCTGTAATGCTTACACGTGGCCAAGTAAGATCCTTCATGCTGGTCTAAATCCATCATTAATCTAAAAGATAGAATTTTGAATAAAGTTTAATCGCTCCATAAAACAAGTTACCTGTAATATTTTAATTTTAAATCTTGTGTTCCTTCGTCCTCAAAGAATTTCGTATTAATCTTTTTGGAAATTATTTGAGTTCTGATATAATCTTGTTTTGCCAAGCACAATCGCATTTGTTCTAATATTAGCTCAACTTTTTCACGCTTCTCCATAGAACCATAAGTTTCTACTTGAAGTTCCTGAATAATATTAGCAGCCTCTTGTATATCACCTTCATCTTCACGGAGTTTAGCCAATTTGTGAGTTAAGCGAGCTCTTTCAACTTCTACATAAATTTTTCCCTCTGTCACTTGCCTATAAGAAACAAATACCAACTTATATTCTATACATTTTAAATAATAAAAGTTATTACCTCAATGTATCAATTAGTTTTATCATGGTATCTTTGTCTGGTGTTTGATCGACATAAGAACAGCATTCCTGAACCATTTTAGCAACAGCCTGTTTCAATTGGGATCTACGTTTTGTAAGCATCACAATATGTTCATTTAAGGCATTCCAATTTTTAGCTTCTTTACAAATTTGGCATATCGCAACTGTAAATTAAAGAAAATAAACTTTAATTTATTTTTGTTAACTATCGTCTTATACCCAAAACTCTGCCAGTAGATATCATATCAGCCCCTGTTCGAGTCTGTTTCTCAAGAGCCAAGAGCTGATCAAGTGCATCATGTAGTTTTCCCGATTTTGCTAGTTTTTCACATTCGGGAATCTTTTCATCACAAGTAGAACTATAGTCTACTTCCATTTTAACAATTTTGCCAGAATCCGTAGCTATTGACTCCATTTTTACTAAAAACAAAGAATTTAGTTATACTCTTCTGAATGTTAAAAAATTAACAATTTAAATATTCCACCATTCTTAAACTGCAATGGAACATAGTTAAATATATCTAGGTATACCCATATCTATTTTACGTATTATTATTTTTGGTATACTTACATTCTTAGGAATTATCTTTTATTTTAGTTTATTCTCCAAATTTTCAAAACAATCCGCAAGTCACTGCCAGAGAAAAATGAGAATTGACAACGTCAACGTCAAAGAATGTTTTATCTTATCTATGCCTTATACCATAGATGTAGAAAACAGGAAGTTACCATTGTAACCAGGGTTCGAAAGTAGTTAACTAAGACGTAATTTACCTGATTAACTACGTGTAGTTTTTCTTCAAAAATTACGTCTTTTCCCGTTCATTAACTACATGAAAAGTACGTTAATAAACTATGTATTGATATTATGAATAATTTTCCGGTAATGGTGTGGATCCGGTGGCTGACCTTGAAACGAGTTTTTGCTGCATATAGTCACAGACACTACGCATGCGCACATCTTCGATGTTGCCAGATTGCAAGTTATTTTGGAATTATTTTCAGTAGAAAACAAATATATGCTTTTCAGTGTTTTTTTGTCAATATATACCGTATGATCAAAAAAACGGCGTCCAGTTGGCTGGGAAATAACGATTGAGGACATTTCCCATATAAAATAACAGAACGATCTTTATTTCATAGTCATCGCCAGGGTTCGGAAAACTACATGTTACTTTTAAAAACTACATAAACTACATTACATGACTCATCGCTGCCGCTATTTTTTTTCAATCATAGTACGCGGCATTATTTATATTATTATTTTAATATTTCGCACAACACGTGAACGCTTATTATGTATTTTCATAGTCAATAAAATTAAATAGAAATAAAACTCTAGATTCCTATAATTAATCAAATTGCTCTAGATTATTATGCTACGTTTAAAAAGGGCTTTATTAAAAATTCGGGAAATTAAAAGGGATGTGTCCAAGTTTTTTCTTTTTTTTTTAATTTTTAAATGCTGTAGCTTCATGTCATGTTCATAATAGTTTTTTTAACATTCCATCAAAACTACGGAGGCCTTAAAAGGCCTTTTAGCCTCCGTAATTAAAATTGTGTAGAATCAGCTTCAGCAACATTAACAGTTACCTTGTTTAATCCTGCTTATACATATATTGCATTAATTTTTCTGCTACCTTAAGATTTCTTTATTCTTACACCTAATTTATGTGATTTTCTTAGCAAAATATGATTTATAAACCATATTTTTCCTAATGGAAGGATGGAATAGGATATGCAAAATTAAGATATTTAACATTTATTTTCCAGACAAAGCATAATATAGTATTAAGATTAAGACATAACAAATATTATAAGAAAGATCTTAATAAATCACAAACTAAGTCTTAATTTGGTCTTGTATAAACACAGGTATAAAACTAATAAGATAAAAACTCAACCTTCACCATATTGACAACATTTGGCATTATAGGAAACAAAAAATTACAGTAAATTAAGAAAAGAATATCAAACTACACGATATTAAATACTGTAATTCTACGACACAAACCATCTCCCTTATAAAGAGAAATTAAAGATAAAACATAAAGCTTATTTTAGTCTTATCACCACACTCTTCGATAAAATATATGTCTAAAATTGCTATTAATCCACTAACTTGATATTTTTAAGAAATTATGATACAAACATTATAATCAAAGTATATTATATTAGTAACATTATAGGTAAAATGTTACCTCTATCTCCCATTGACGTGTATTGTTCTATAAGACTCGTCATGGGAGTACACTCAATACATCAATACATATAATCAGAACTATTGTTGCCTGTAAATAACTAGAAATTAAATAACTTGAAAGAAATAAAATAATTCTAATAAGTTTAAAACCATTAAGAAAAAATTCGTAAATGATAATTTTTAATTCTAATGTAAATATATAAATAAATGTTATTAATATTACAATTTTATATATTCAATTTTATATATTATTCCTTAAGTTTGGATATCAAGATAAATCTGAAATTATAAAATTAATTAGAGAATTTGTATTATTATTGATTAACACTGAAAAGAAAATTTTCAACTGCAAATAATTCGAAAATAAAGTGCAATTTGGCAATATCGACGATGTGCGCTTGCGTAGTATCGATGATCAAATGCAGCAAATATAGGCTTCAAGGTCAGCCACCGGATCCACACCTTTACCTATTTTGTTTTTTACAAGTAAATCAACAAAATTTTTATAACCCCATCCCTGTTTATCTGATTCAGCAAATTTCATTTATAATCTGTGGTATTTGGAGTAATATATATGATTTTTTTATATCTTTATAAAAATTGTTTTAACCAGTTATTAAGTGAATCTGTGAAGTAGTGAATTATGTAAAAGTGTGCTTGTCTATGTGGTACATAAAACTTCTCACTGTAATTATTCTTTGAATAAAAAATTATTAATAGAAATCTGAAAATGCATAATATATATGACGCAAATTCTACTAGAATATGACTAGGATTCTACAAATTGACAGTCAGCTGATTTTGATTTTTTTCATTTATGAATCAATCGATTAGAAATTAGAAATAAGAATAATTAAAATAAGATAGTAAAAGTTGTGTGCATCAGTTTTATAAAAAAAACTTTGAAGTATGTTTGCTACACCATTTACTAAAATAGTTGCTTTCTTAAAATGACTTTAGTGCACATATAATAAGCATCAATTAGTACTAAAATTTTAAATCGTACCTGTTCATGTGTTTTACATTGGTTTTACCTATAGCTATTTAAACAATGGATTCAAAAAAAGGTGCGTACTAAATTTGTAACATTTCACTTTATGTAATTTAAAAAAGAAAAATACCCGCTTATACTTGTTTAAGTGAAACTTTATTATTGATCAATTGGTGTGCTTCTATGCTAGTACTTGTCATTTCAGCAAAATTAACGTTTCTACTAGCTGTATGCGTCTTCTATTTTGTAAGTGTCTCCTACTAGTAACTTAGTTTACTTGACTTAATAAAATGACATCCAAAAAAGATGGCAAAATTACTTTGGCGATGTTAAAAGGTAACTGTAAATGTGTTGCTTGACTCTTCAAATATTTATTAGTAATATGTCTGCAAGAGTTTTAAGTTCCTTCTTTTTTTAGTATTTTAATTTTTAATTTTGTATTTATGCACAGTATGCACCCAGTTCGTTTTCTTTTTTTTTTGAATTCATTGTTGCTATTACACAATTGTTTTTCTTGAATCTATATATTGGTTGTATGATTATGTTTTTTGAGAATAGTTTCTAATTACTTAATATAAAATATTTTAGTAAAAATTATTTAGATTGTTACTGATGTTTTTAGGAAAACCTGTAACAACTTCTGTACCATCAATATCAATCAAGTTTCATGCAAATGCTGAGCAAATTGAAGAACTGAGATTTAGTGATGATGATACTCCAAATTCAGATGAGAAGAATCACCAATTTGAGAATTTAAACCTGGTGTCAAGTTCAAGTAAGCATTTATAAAATGTTAAATTAATTATATGTATATTATATATTTTACCCTTGTACCTTTTATCTTTTCTGAAAAATAAATAATAATGAAAATTGTTTGTATAGCAGGATTTAAATGATTTGAAACATATTGAACTTTTGTCAAAAATAATGATGTTTATGTATTGTAAATACACCTCCTTAAATGTAAATATACATACACATAGAGATAACACACATAAATTTCTTTATTTTTGAATGTTTATCTATTTTAAACTTATACAGAGTGACCCTTTCATTCCAAAAATATACATACACATAGAGATAACTCATGTAAATTTCTTTATGATTTTTGAATGTTTACCCATTTTGAACTTTACAGGATGAGTCAGCGTTCTGAAAAGGTCTATTATAAATTTATAGTGTGAAATTTTTACTATCCAGTAATCTTTTTTCTCAAATAGGTTTTGTAAAATGACATATCAAACCAAAGTTGTATTTTTTTAAATGGCATATTGTATATCCTTTTAAGCATAGCGGATTTGCCACTTAATTCCCCAAAAAAAGTTACATTTCTAAGTTATGTTTTTTGTAACGGAACACCCTATATATTAATTGATTTTCGGATTCCAGGAGAAAAATAAAGGTGAGTTTTATTAAAGAAGCATATACCTAAATATTTCATATTTTGTGAAATTTGACCCGAAAAGTTATACAGTGAGACAAAATTAATATAGAACATTAGTCACTTTTAAAAGCAAGTTACTCCTTTATTTGGAACACCCAGTATATTTTTCCGGTGTTCAATGGGGAATTTACATATCTTCAAAATATTATTAAGGTTGGTCCTCAGACAAAGATTTTCCTAAATATTTTAATTTTTATGATTTTGCCTCAGTGGTTCTTTATTATTTGAAAAAATCTAGGTAAGTGCAATGAATTTTTTACTTGGCAAAAAAATAAATATATGTTATTGTACTGATGCTGTTGGAATTTATCATTATAAAACAGAAAATTAGTGTTATAAATATGTATATTGGATATGAACATAATTTATGTCATAAAATACAGTGTGATCCATTTGAAATAGTGGAGAAAAATAAAACGTGGATAAGTGGGCCGAAACACTCTGTATATTTCGTGTAATATAGTGAAAGAAAACTATATTATAAACTAATTAATTACAGTTATTAAAGAATGTAACTTAGCTTAAATGGAAAGAAAATTTGGTCTAAAAACTTATATTTGAAAAAATATTTTCAAAACCGCTCTGTAAAGAATATGATTATTTGACACAAGTTACTTTTGGAAAGGGAATTTAATAGCAAATTGATTATTCAATTTTAGCTGAAAATATGTTTCAATCACTCTATGTATGGACAAAGATATTTTAAAAATGTACTTTAGAACTTTAAACAAGTATTTTGTAAAGAATGGAATAAAAATATCAAACCAAAAACCCGATACAGAACTTTTCAGAGCGCTTAGTCACGCTGTACCTCCTTAATCGTAAAACTAATACATCCTTATGATTTTTAAATGTTTGTCCATTTTGAATTGATATTTATACTGTTTATAAACCTTTCCAATTTTTATATTAAGAAGAAATAACGTAGTTACCTCATCACTCGTTTGAATTTTATTTATATATTTAGGTGACCAAGATACAAGTCCTTTAAAATTATTCCCAAAATTAGTGAAACGATCCACTAGTATAGATGTGTCAGCACAAAGTTTAAGTTCTTCCCCCCCTAGTGATCCATGGAGATTTTTTTCAGATATCAAGGTCGGTTTTTCCATTAGATGTATTTTTTTAACTTTCGAACAATTAATTTTTTATGTGAGAATTTTATCGACAGGGAAAAATCACTAAAAGTGTTGAAGAAAAAATTACAGAAATTAAAGCTAGACATGATGAAGGTTCACCACTGCACAAATCAAAATCTGAACTAAAGTCTAGCAAAGAGACAAAGTCAGAAAAAGACCCTACCAACAAAGATAGTTCCAGTTTGTCAGACTCTGAGGACCAGTCTGAAAGTAGTATATCTAAAACTTGTGGTGTTATCTCTACAACTGAAGGTTGCAAAAGTTTCCAAAACATAAAATAAAATTTAATGGCCAGTAAATTATCTTGTAGGAGTGGAAATGTCTTCCGATGATGACACGCCTTCCATAAACAAAGATAAGAAATTACACTCTCCAAATATTCGTCATCGTTTTCGTTTTCTCAAAAGTCACGGGAAAAGTCAAACAAAAGAAGGAACTATTAACATTAATAATTTCTCTAAGTTGTACAATATTAATGCTGAAAATGTTGATCAGGCGCTTCCAGAACATAACGAAGACATAGAGAGCGCTGTAGATGCTCTAGAAGAGACTGTTTTTATGGATACCTCGGGAAATATTGAAAAGGGGATATCCAATGAAGATATATTAGAAAAGGTAACAAATACTAATATAAAAAATGTATTATTTTAACGCTATTTGCGATAGGTTGCTCAAAAAATTGATAATATAGACTTAGGCCCGGATAAAGTTATAAATATAAAAGAAGTGGCAGGTGAAGATCTTAAAAAAAGTTTTTTTGCTGGAGATAATAAAATGAAAACTGTATTTGCGCCTGTTGGATTTGTTGATGTTAGAACAACTAATTTTAAAAAGGATGAAAAAAACATTATGTAAGTACAATATTATTTTTATTTGTAGTTTGTAGAATAACTTAAACAAATAATAGGGGGTAAGTATAAAAATAGAAATCAGCCAATAACTACTTACTTCACTATTGTATCTATATCAAAATTAAAAAAATTGCCTATATCACACATTCTCTACATCATTATTCAGACTTCAAAGTAAAGTATTTTAGGTGAACTAACGTTTTGTTTTGCATAACACCAAAGGTTTCATCTCAACCGTTTCGATCATATCATTATTACAGTGGAATCATATTTGTTAGACAATAAAGTTATTATTTATTTATATTTTTTATTTTAAGGGATATCTATTTTTCCACATAAAAATAAGATAGTTATTGAGTATCCTTTATAGGCTTGGTGCATTCTCTGCTAGTGCTGCCACCATTGGAGAATCCCGTAAACAACCGGGTCATACAAATACACAAGCTTAAATAGCGAGTACACGAAAAATGTATTAAAATATTATTTGAAAAGTGCTATTTGGTCTGTAATGAAATTTTTTAAAGGTACATAATTATAATTTTAGAAGCTTAGAAGATTAAAAAAAATATACCATTAATATTTATCAAATTATATGTTATCCTCATAATATATGCCTATTCATTTTTTTTATTACATAATGGGAACTGTATTTACTCAGTTGTTTTGTCGAATTGCCTGAATCCATTTTTGCTTTTGATCAAATCGGTGTGAGAAGGCTGAGAAGCTATAAAATGTTGTTCCCGGAGGTTGTTGCGCTCAACAACCATGCAGTTACACCCTCCTTTACATGTTAACATTTTTATGGCAATTTTATTATCATTTGAAATTTTCTTTCTTACTTAATTTTTACTACCCGAAACGGTGTTACATCACACAAACTTCATACCTGAAGAGTTTATAGTTTTAATAACTGCACTAAGTAAAAATCAAAATACTTTAATATTATTACATTACAACATGAACGGTAACCGGGACGGCATGAAGTAAAATAGCCGGGTAGTTCTGATTTCTGCCGTACCGAGCGCTGCTGTCGGAAAAAGTATTTGTTGTCAAACGCACCAAGCCTATTACCTACTCAATGTTAGTGATATGCTGAATATTTTTTTGTTAGTTGTATAAAAATTGTGTTGTCACAAAATTTGAATTATGTCTGTCAAAATTGTAATTTTTCTCATTGAACAGACTTTACATAGGAATTTACACCAACTTTTGTTTTAGACCATGGATAGTTTTAGGAATCTACTTTGTTTTGTATGCAATTCTACATACTTATATTCCATACCTTGCCGGCTTGCTTTTAGGCATTTCATTGGCCTTAATTTTTGGCTATATATACTTGAAACTTTACACAAACATTACTAGTCTAGATCCCACAGTCTATAATAAGCATATATTAAATAACAATATTATGGAAATACCAGCTGCGAAAGAATATCAGCCATTAACGAAATATGAGGTAAGTTTCAGATATATCGGGTATGTTTGAAGGTTCTGTATGTTCAAAACCATATCATTTTTATTCTTTGAACTGATCAGAAAAAAAATAGTGTTTTACTTGTCGGCACTTTCAGGGCCAAAATCATAATATAATATGGTTGAAAATAAAAAACTTGCTCAACAAAGCGCCTAGCATGCAGCTCACGTTTTTCTGTCAAGTATTCATTTGATTTTAAAACGCCTAGTTAGTTTTTGAACACATCCCAAGGACATTTATTAAAAATGCCAACCATTATACAGGGTGGTCCGAAATGTATTTCGGAAACTTTGGTAGCATATTCTGCAGATAAAAATAAGTAAAAAACTTCGTATAAATGCATGTCCTAAAATGCGTAGTTTCGGAGATACAGGGTGTAGAAATTTCATATTTATTTCGATTCTTTCTAAATAATTTCTAAAGTAACGTAAATATTTCGATGAAAATTGGTGTCTAGGAGTTTTTTGACATGAGAAATTTGATTTTTATGTCAATATGACTCCTATTTATAGGATGCACCACCTACATGTGTTTTAACTGTTTTGAAGAGTAATAACTTTTTGTCCGTACCTGTATAAAACTACTGAGTGAAAAAATATACATTTCTGTGATTTTTTACGTAAAAAATGTCTCTCGGTAAAAATCTACTAGCAACCGTTCAAAAGATATTTAGAATGGAAATAGTCAATACATGTCATTATTGCCAAAAAATAAACAGTTTGAGTATATTTTATAGTAGTTATTTGACTGAAATGATAAATTTGGGAACTTTTTATTTTTTTAAATTAATCATAAATTTTTCTTCAAAAAAATAATGATAAAACAGTTTCTGTTGAACTTTTGCCACAAAAACAGTTCAAATTTATGATTTCAGTCTAATAACTATTTAGTCGACATGTTTAATTATGTTAATGATGAGAGGTAGAGATAATTTTGATTCCAAATATCTCGAGAACTCGTAGCGATTTTTACCAAGAGACCTTTTTTATGTAGAAAGTGTCGCAAATGTATATTTTTTACTCAGTAGTTTTATACAGGTACGAACAAAAAGTTGTTACTCTTCAAACCAGTTAAAAAATATGTAGGTGGCGCCCTCTATAAGCAGGAGCCATATTAACATCAAAATCAAATTTCTCATGTCAAAAACCTCCCAGACACCAATTTTCATCCAAATATTGACGTTACTTCATAAATTATTTCGAAAACATCGAAATAAAAATGACCTCTACACCCTGTATCTCCGAAACTAAGCATTTTAGGAAATACATTTGTACGAACTTTTTTACTTATTTTTATCTGCAGAATATGCTGCCGAAGTTTCCGGAATACAGTTCGGACCACCCTGTATATTTTTGTAAGCTTTTTCAAGTCATTTAAGCAAAGATTATTTTGAGTCATTTATTAAAGTAGAGATATTAAAGTAAACGTTATTATGTAAATATAAAAATAGTTTTTAGATATTTTAAAAACAATATTTCCAAATGAGTCACCTAGATTAACCTGTTACAATTTTTTTATTAGGTTTGTTCTCACAGCGTGTTCCCAACATGTTTGTGACTTCTTCCAAACCGGTGTTAATGCGCAGGTCTCAAATAATGCAGTTTCTTGTCGATTTCAAACATGTTTCAAACTGTCTGTGCGAACAGCGAATCCCCTACTCTTCTTTTTTGATCTAATAATACCACTAATTTTAACTCCTACATATATATATATATATATATATATATATATATATATATATATATATATATATATATATATATATATATATATATATATATATATATATATATATATATATATATATATATATATATATATATATATATATATATATATATATATATATATATATATATATATATATATATATATATATATATATATATATATATATATATAAATATGTCATCTATATATATGTCATCTTTCAGATGAAGCGGAGCGTCCGCGTGTACCGTCCTCGCTGTTTTTGTGCTGCTTGTTATTTCAAGATAACCGTTAGACGAAATCATCCGGACGGGAGCATACGCGACTCATGTGAAATTGTTCATTTAAACTCATGGAACGCTCCATCTGAAAGCGCTGTTAATGCGACATATTTTAAAGCTAAAAAAGTGTCGACATATTCACCAGGGACGTGCATAAGGGTTATCACTGCAATATTTTTCTAAAAAAACATGTACCTCACTGATTTTTTTCTCCTGTTAGCGAATTAGTGTAAGCAGTTTAATGCCGATTAAAAGTTGTCTCTTGATTTTTCGTCGATTTCGGCTTCCTTAATGAGATAAAAACGCAATTTTATTAATTTGCCTGGATCCAAGTGTAATAGCAACCTTATTATTATTAGTTTTTTTTTGTAATTATCTTAAATACCATTATTTTATTTATTTAAAATTGCTGTAAGTTGGACTAATAGTAATAATAACTAATCGTGATAATATTTAATAATACATTAGGTAAAATATATAATTTATTAATTTTATTTTTATTTTAATTTTATTAATTGTGATTAATAAAATTGTGTTTATCTCAAGACCGAATTAGGGCTCGAACACACTGACGACCAGGCCGCACCGGCCAGGCCGCAGCACCTCTAAAACCATTAAATCAAATGATATAGCGCACACTAACGTCCTGGCCGTCCGTTGGTCGTTGCGACCAGAAGACTGCACGGAAATATTATTTTCTGCCGCTTGTTGCCGGTTTTCTTCCAAATTAATATTTTTTCAGATGAAATCCCTCAAATTCAAGGCATAATATTTGATTTTCTATAAGATATAGTGTTTTAGTGTAGTTTTTGCACACGTGCAGAAAATCCAAAGAAATAGTATACAGACTGGATCAAAGGTAAACTTAAATCTAATCCCTTTTTTTATCAAGGGTCGATTCTAGTAAAAACTCAAAACATTTTTATATGACATACCTACTCTATTTATAGTTGGTATGATACCTGTTATTATACCTTTGAGTTTCGAGGTTAAAAAATAAAAAAAATAATATTTAAAGTTTTTCTACAACCACTTGTTTTTTTTTATTAAATTAGTTTTTTTAGTTGTATTCTAGTCATGTACAAGGAGGACAACTGTATTTTAAATATTATATTTAATTTAACGTTTTTCAAACAGGGTTCATTAGACTATATTTCTACTAGGTACATTATTTTGAAAAAAAAATTTAAGAAAGTAACTTAAACATTCATAAAAACAAAAGTAATTATTGTTGTAGATTCTTCGTTATATTGTAAACATTGAAATAACTGGAAGCTAAACTTTCTACCTGCTTATATTTAGAGCCAGTGTCTGACGATCTTTTTTTACGATGGCCCTAATATGTTTGCTTCTAAAGTCGATAAGGGCGCCATATCAGTAGAAAAAAGAAACAGAATATCTCCCTTTTTGTCGGTCGCGCGTACACAATGCTTTTTGTTTGTTGTGAATAGCAACTTCGCTTTTTAGTTAACTCGGATATTTTAACATTTCTGAAACAATATTTTCTAGTTGGTAAAACGTAAAAAATCGTTAGATTTGACAACTCTGTTGAAACTGGTCGTTCATCTGGCCGCAGCTAAAACGCAATACATCCGGCCAGCCGACGGCCAGGTCGTTGCGACCTGGTCGTCAGTGAGTTCGAGCCCATAATTTGATATCAAAAGAACAAAAGTCAGTGGCCCACATGTTTTTTTTTAAAAAAATAATCCAATGATAACCTATATGCAGTAATATGCACGTCCCTAATGAATTTATCGACACTTTTTTAGCAGTAAAATATGTAGCATTTAAAGTAACTTTTACCCTCAAAATTTCATTTGAATCACTAAAAGTACTTGGAAAAAAATTATAATAAATCGAAATATTATTAAGACTTTAACACCCTGCAGCTACGAAACAAAGCAGAATCGGACCTATGTTGATATGAAAAATAAATCTTATTTTTACGTGAGGAATCTCCCCACGAGAGATAGCACATGTTTCTTGAAATACCCTGTATAGATGAAATTTTGTTACACATATATTTTAAGACAAAATTTCTTTCAATATAATATTTTCAATTTTTTTAAGACTGATTTTTAGACTGAAACTTAAAACATTATTTATCATTTCTGCTATATTACTACTTCATAATAATTAGTTTTGGCGTCAATAAAAAGGAACAATTAAAATAATTATTTCCATTTTGTTTACCATAAAAATTAACAACCTAGTATAAAACAAAACTATATAATTTGGTTAATTTATGCTTTTTTACACTGTGATTAAAATCCACCTTATTTGCTGAGTTAATTTTGTATGTCTTGTTTTCCATTCATTAATTAATAGGTTTACTAATTACAAGGGAGTTTCAAGAAATAAACTCGCCACGAAAGGTATAAGTATTATTCACCTATTAAAGGTAACGTAAATAATTATATATATATATATATATATATATATATATATATATATATATATATATATATATATATATATATATATATATATATATATATATATATATATATATATATATATATATATACGAGGCATGTTTTTAAGTAAGTACCGTTTTGGAATTAAAAAAAAACGTGCAAAGAATCGCAATAATTTTATTTTTACATGAAAGCCTGTACCTTAATCTATTTTTCTACATAATTTCCGTGAATATTGAGGCACTTGTCATAACGTGGCACCAGTTTTTCAATACCCTCCTCATAAAATTCTGCCGCCTGACTGGTTAACCACTGTATCACAACTGTTTTGACTTCGTTAACGTCTTGAAGACGCTGACCGCCCAGGTGTTTCTTCAAGTGCAGGAATAAATGGTAGTCACTGGGCGCCAGATCAGGGCTGTATGGAGGATGATCTAGAGTTTCCCATTTAAAAGATTTGATGAGATGTTTGGTCCGATTAGCCACATGTGGACGGGCATTGTCATGCAGCAAAACAATACCCTTACTCAACTTGCCACGTCTTTTGTTTTGGATTGCACGGCGCAGATTGTTC